TTTCAAATCGGATTTGTAGTTCATGAGATTAGCGTGTTCAAACAAACAAACAAATTTTGCTTCCTTATAATATTATATAGTACAGATAATAGTGAGATTTAATTAACAAATAAAAGTAAGTATTTATCAGCTGTGTGTCACTGACCAATGCACCCAATTTACAATTAATTTTCCTTCTACATTGTACTATAAATGACATTTAATGCGAAATTGAAAATCTTATAAATAATTTATGATGCAAACTGAACGTCATGGACTGTAATTAAACATAATTTGTTTTCAATTATCGCTGTGCAACTATTTCGTATAAATATAAATCAATTTTAACTGAACGTTTTATAATCTCGATATAATTTATGTATGTATTTAAAATTAATAAAAGCAAATATAATCGTTGTGATCTATTCAATACAGCGAGGCTATCTTAATATAGTAATTAGTACTCGTAGATAATTGTTTTGTACATGTGTTTGTTAACCTACTCCTCCTAAAGGGCTAGACCGATTTGGATGAAATTTTGAGTGTACATTTCAATGGACTCCTGGATGGTTTGAAAACACAATTGGACCGGGTAGGTGGCGCTTCAGTTGGTGTGCCACAGATCATCTCCTAAACGGCAGGAAGGATTTTAATGATATTTTTTGTGTATGTTCGAGTGGGTCCCTGCAAGGTTTGAAAAAACAAATGGACCCAGTAAGTGGCGGTGCAGTCGGTGTGTCACAAAATTTTTATAAAAGAATCCATTTTCCGAGCAATAAATAAATTTAATTGTTGATTATTAAATTTAATCGATGTGTGTATGTATGTTCCCTTTGGACTCCAAAACTGCTGGAGCGATTTTGATGACATTTTCAGGTAATCTTCAGATTAACACAGCAGGTGGTCCTGTGAACTTTGTTAGCGATCGGAAGTTTGGACGCGGGCGAAGCCGCGGGTACTGCTAGTATTAATTTAAATCGTTATTTTTGTAGGATTCTAATCCAAAAGCGTTAGAATGAGTAAATCCTCCTTTGTGAGGTTTCATAACGTACAGCTACACCGTTACATTTTATATCTTTATCTATACATATAATAAAATTCTGAGTCGAATCTGTGCATTAAATATTTTTTGGAAAATCTTATTGAAATGGTCATTATTATCGATACAGAAGCCGAATCAATCTATAGTTTTTAGAATTTTTGTCTGTCTGTCCGGGAACGCATTACGAGAAAACCACTGGACAGATTTTGATGAAAAGCTGGTAATCTGGGTTACTTTTTACTGCGAGTGATTGATTTTACTGAGAAATCTATACTAACCGTTAAAACGTACCAACGGACGAACCCGAGCGGAGCGAGGATGAGTCGCTAGTTAATATAATATTTCTGTAAGCTGATTGACAAATTGGTAATAAGAAAGATTTTTTTTGACACAAAGGGCTTATGTTGGTATTATCGAAATCGGTAATGATAAATATTAATTAGAAAATTACTAACGAAGCGTAGGCAGGTGTGTGGAGGCGTATTTTTTATGATGAAATATTATACATACAGATACTACTATTTTAGTTTTTAATAAATATTTATTATCTATATTTATATTATCTGTAGTAATTTCAGTTTTAAGTCAAGTTAGACAATTTGGAATGAATGAAAAAATGCTTTTCTCCCCATTTGGAAAGAATTAATGAACTCACTAATGGTTTCTGTGGGCAATTAACTTCGGCCTTTGAGCAAATTACAATGAGTGGACTAAAACATGAGATATGGGGTCGCGAATATTTTATGTAGTGTTTTACTTTTTTTTGGTGGTAAGTGATGTAGCGAAATATTTAAAACACTCACTCTATTAAATAAAACTATCTTTTCGGAGAGACTCTCTCGTGACCATGGATGCTGTAAAGCATTCGAAACGTCGGGAACCAAAAATCAAAATAAATCCGCGAAATAATCCGAAAAGATAGTTTTATTTAATAATGTCAAACATTCGCGTAAATCTAAGAAAGTATTATTACACTCACTCTACTTAGTCTAAATGAGTTCAAACAAAGTCTGATGTAGGTAGTGGTAGGTCATTGGTAACGCGCTTGCTTGGGAAACCAGTGAAGCAGGTTCAAATTCCAGGTGTAGAATTTGAAACGCATCACAAGTATTTTTATTTTGAAGTGTTTAAGAGAAACTAGCAAGTTTTCGAAATACATGTGCAATCCGCCAACGCGAATTTGACTGGCATAGTGGACTGTGGCCTGATCCCCCTCGCATTGAATGGAGGCCCATGTCCAGCAGTGAGACGTTTAAAAAGGCTGAATTAAAAAATCTGATCTAGTTGACTGCTCTTATTGTGGAAATGTGATGAAGATTAAACGAAATGAAGATGAAACAATGAATCTTACAGCCGAATTAAATTATTAGACACAGAAGTACCAATTTGTCGTATAACTTACTATGTTGTGTATACGAAAATTAAGTAATGTCTTTCGAAGGCATATTTCGAAGATTTTATTTGCATATTTTGAAGATTTTATTTATTGTACCATTAAAATAAAGAGCTTAATCCCTCCACGACCGGCGTGTCAGTTAACAATAGATTTCTTAGAAAAATTATTTCTTAGCAATTTATCTGGAGGTGTTAAAGAGCTATATGATATGAAATTATAAATATGTACCTATATTGTTTTAATATGCACGTAATAATTAATAGATTTATAATATTTTAGTGGCCTACAAGTACAACGGATTTAAATGATTTAGACACAGATTTTTCCCGCGACGACAGATTCAATATGCAAAGACCAAACGACGACGAGCCATGTCTGCGAGTCCGTCCCACTAATAGAGATATTATTAAACGATTTCATGCAATATTGCCATAGTAAGTAATTTTTTTATTTAATTTATGATAAGACTAGCAGTACCCGACTTCGCCCGCGTTCAAACTTTCGTTATAAACATCAGTTTTACAATAATGTATGGAAGTTTGTCAGTTTTGTTGACATTTATGATTACTGCTCCGCTTCCTTGGGTAGTAGCATTATGATATATAAGCTATAGCTTTCCTCAAAAAATGGGCGACCTAAAGCAAAAAGAAGTTTTCAAATCACATTAGTAGCTCCTGAGATTAGCGCGTTCAAACAAACAAACTCTGTCTCTTTATAATATTAGTATAGTACTATAGAGTATAGATTATTTTGGCGTAAAATTACTAAAACTTAAATTTCGAAAGTACATAAGTTATTTATTTATACTGTATTAAAAATATGCAAGGTTTTTTTTTAATCCATTTAATTTTTTCATTTGTAAAATGGACAATTATCGTTCGATTTTTCATTTTATTTTATTTTATATGATCCATTTATGTAAAAACAAAGGCTTTCGGGATCGAACCCGGCGCATGGCCAATGCCAGTCGTACATTCCGCTACACCGCTCGTTTTCAGGAAGTATTTAAGATAGTGAAAAGCTTTTATATAAGGAGACAAAAGTTTACTTTTGCAATTTTCAACCGTTTTCGTATAGCAACTTAACTGCATAAGTTTCGAAACTAACTTCTGTGCAATTTTAAGTTATTTCTTCAGTAGCGTAGTTGTGTGAGGGAGATGTTTATATATTATGTTTTATTCGTCATTTTGTAATGAAATGTGTTATTTTTATGTGGCGATATTGATTATTATTTGTCCACTTCGGTTTTGTCCCTAGATTATTTTTTAAATTAGATAACTTTTTTTATTTATGAAGCGATTGAAATAAAACGACTAAACGACGAAAAGCTTACCAGTTACCACAATACATTAGTGAAAACCACACCCAAATCGGTTAAGCCGTTTCTGAGATTAGCGCGCACACACGCACAGACAAACAGATAAAAATCCTAAAAACCATTGTTTTGGGTCCTATTGCGTTAATAAAGACCTCTAATAATAGTTTTTCTCAAATATCTTCCATGTACAGACAGCAATCAGTTACAATTTTACTAGATAATTTTTTTTTTGAAATAAAATATGATAAAGGAGAATATGCAAATTCTCTACGTGCTTGTACAAAGTTCAGTCATTAGATGTGTGAAATTATAGCGTTTTGTAAAATAATTTAAGCTCACTAAATAACGGGGAAACTTTCTGAATGAATACTGTATACGAAATAACTGGTACATATAATTAACTTTAGTTTTGAACATATCGTTAATGTTTAACATTTAAAATACATTTCTCGTTCGAATTTACAACAAATTTAATAATACAAAATGCTCGCTCAATTTCATTTAACATGCTTAGGAGCGGTTTATATGCAATAAAGTGTAGTTTTACTTGCGAATTTGTCTGAAAATTTATGTAAACGGGCGATGGGTGGTTTGTTTATGTTTCATTACCGTTAAAGCGTTCTACTTTAAATAAAAATGGGTCGAGTGTTAATGCTTTCATATGAAATGCTGGCCTTTGTTTGTTCCGGAGACAATACTTCTGGGACGCCACTCGAAACCGCTGCCTAAACACTGACGTTTTGACGTGACCCGAATCTTCAAGAAACGTACATTTTTAATATGAAATATGTGGTTATTTATAGATTACTTGTAGTAATAAGTTTTTCCGTTTCCGGTTACGAAAGTGTCAACATCTTTGTTAAGTGTCTCCGTATATAAAATAAAAATAAATAGTGAAAAGTGATAAACTGATATCAACTTACATTTCAAAACAATTAACTGATTACCCTTTGCATATTGTGCGGAAAAAACAAGCATAAAGTATTGCAAAATCACTATAATCAAGAAGAATAAGTTGGTGGTTTAAACGTTTTGTTTCCTATCCGAATTATAATCATCTGTCATCATTCATCAAATATGTCAAGTGACAACTAATACCACAGACGAGTTAAGATTGATTGACATCCGATTTAGTGTTGCCAGCATATAAAAATAAAATAAAGACTTACACACACTATCGTAAACAGACACCGACTTGATATAGTGATAATATATATTAGGATAAATAATAAAAAAAATTGATAATCTCAAAGTGGAAAATAAAAATGGACGAAAATTTTGAAAAACTTTTTGAAAAAATCAAACTGGAAATGCAATTACAAACAAAAGAGATTACGGAAAATCTTATGGCAAAGATGGAGGAGAAAATGCAACCGCTGATTCAAGAAAATTGCAAGTTAAAACAAAAAGTAGAATTCTTGGAGAGGAAAGTAGATATATTAGAAAGAGAAAAAAAACGAAATAATCTTATGATTTTTGGCTTTGAAGAAAAGGAAAGATCAAACAAAGAACTGATAGAATTACTTGTACCGGAAATAAAAAACATGGGTGTAGAGATTGACGCAAAGGAAATATGTAACGCACAACGAGTTGGACAAAAACCAGAAAAAGGAAAAACTAGACCTATAACTATTACACTTTCTACTACTTGGAAAAGAACCGAAATATTAAAGAACAAAAAGAAATCCCAAAACCTCTACATCACCGAAGACTTTCCCAAGCACATTCTTGAAATACGACGCTCATTACAAGAGAGATTAAAGGAAGAGAGAAGTAAAGGGAATTTTGCTTTTATAAAATACGATAAGTTGATAGTAAAGGAAAATAAGCTAACCGAGAAAAGAAAGAGATCGCCAACTAGCAGCCCTCAAGAAACGTTTTCCAAGAAACATACTCCAAAGCCTACGAACAAAGTTAACAGAGCAAATGCTTTTGATATAATGAGATCAAGATCCAACTCTCTCTCGTCAATTAGCAAACAATAGCAATTAGTAACTGGGAATGGAAATAGTACAAATAGAATTAACATTAAAAGTACAAATAACAATATTTTAATCCCCAAGCCGGCCGGTCACCGTGGGGAGTTCGACCAAAACCCTCTAGCCAAACACCCCAATATAGACAATAATAAAGAGAAAGAACATATAAAAGTAGAAAATCACATCCAGAAAGAAATAGAAACAAAACAAAAAAATATCATATACATCGCTACCTTAAACACTAGAACTTTAAGAACTGAAGAAAGATTAACGGAACTAGAACACGCACTAAAAAATATAAAATGGGACATTATTGGACTCAGTGAGATAAGGAGATTAGGAGAAGAGATAAAAGAATACAATGACTTTATTTTATATTATAGAGGAGAAAAGCAAGGAATGTATGGAGTCGGTTTCATCGTAAAGAAATATCTTAAAGAGAACATTGAACAATTTTCAAGTAAGTCTGACAGAATCGCGGTTCTTAACATAAGATTACCCGGGCACGCACATTCCTGGTCAATTGTTCAGGTATATGCACCCACGGAACAAGCAAGCAAGGAAGAAAAGGATCGATTCTACATATCTTTGAACGAAGTATTAGAATCAACACTTAAAAATATAATAATTCTCGGAGACTTTAACAGCCAGATTGGTAAAACACAAGACTGCGAAAAGTTAGTAATAGGTAAACATAGCAATGGGAAAAGAAATGATAACGGTCAAAGATTAGTAGACTTTGCAATGCAGAATAACATGAAAGTTTTAAACACATTTTATAAAAAGAAGAATACACGAAAATGGACTTGGATATCTCCTGACGGAACATATAAAAATGAAATAGATTTTATATTGAGCAATAAACCATCGTACTTTATGGATATAACTGTTGTAAACAATCTAAATTTCAACACAAATCATAGGATGGTAAGAGGAGCAATTAAAGCTGACATAAAAAAGTCAAGGAGAAAAATTCAAAATAATTTTACTTACACACAGCTACCACTTCCAAACAGTATAATAAAAGAATTTAAAGTAAATATAGCAAAAATAGATAGCGAATGTTCAGTACAAGAAAACTATAATAAATTCGAAAGAGCACTGATAAAATCATTCTCAAAGCTTAAAAGACAAAACCAGGAAGAAGATAAACTTGGAACAAAAGCAAAGGAACTAATAGAACAAAGAAAAAATATGTTTAACGACCGCAAAAAGAAAAGAAATAGAAGAAATTAGTAAAAAAATTGTAGTAAGCATAAGAAATCACAAAAAAGAGAAAAAGCTCCATAGGATTAATTTAGAAGTAGAAAGAACCGGCGGAATTAAAAAAGCCCTGAAACAGCTTCAGGATCATAAAACATGGGTAGCAAAAATTAAAGGAAAAGACATAAATGGAAAGGAAATCATAACATCCCACAGAAAACAAATTGTCATAACTGCCACAGACTATTATCGAAATTTATACAACGACCTCGGATCAGACAAGGAGTTCAACATTAAAAAAGACAGTGGAAAAGAAGAAGTACCAGCGATTTTAAGCAGCGAAATAAGGAAAGCAATCATGTCCCAAAAATATGATAAATCACCAGGTGATGATAAAATAACTAATGAGTTACTAAAAGGCTTAATAGAAGCTTTGCTCCCACCACTAACTAAACTTTTCAACAAGATATTATGTGAAGAGATAATACCAAACCAATGGACCACTTCGACTATTATTCTACTGCATAAAAAAGGTGATAAACACAATATGGAAAATTACAGGCCAATAAGTCTAATGTCCAACATGTATAAAGTTTTTTCGAAAGTTTTACTGGGTCGTATTACAAGATGTCTCGACGAACAACAACCAAGGGAACAAGCGGGATTCCGGAGTGATTTTTCTACGATCGACCATATGCACGTAGTTAACCAATTCATAGAGAAATATAATGAATATGGAAAATATTATTACATCGGATTTATAGATTATAGGAAGGCTTTTGACTCAATATTACACAAAGCTATATATAAGTCACTCATAGAACAAGGAGTAGACAAGAAATACGTGAGGATTATAAAAGAAATATACAGTAATAGTACAGCAAAAATTCACCTAGAAAAAGTGGGAGAGGAATTCAAAATCCAAAGAGGGGTCAGACAGGGAGATCCACTTTCACCCAAGCTTTTCTCTGCTGTGCTGGAAAGTATTTTCAGGAACTTAGACTGGAGCAATTATGGCGTTAATATAAATGGAAGTAAACTCACCCACCTAAGATTTGCTGACGACCTCGTACTTTTTGCGGAAGATTCTAAAACACTTCAGGATATGATAGAACAACTAAAAGATCAAAGCGAAAAAGTTGGACTTTCAATGAACCTGTCAAAAACAAAGTTAATAACGAATGGAAACAAAGAAAATATATATATAGACAGCTTAAAAATAGAGTATGTAGAAGAATACGTATACTTAGGACAATTAATAGCACCAAAACAACAAATGTCCAAAGAACTGAACCGAAGAATATCCAACAGCTGGTCACGATATTGGTCTTTAAAAGAAATACTGAAGAGCCCATCCATACCAATTTCAGGAAAACGAAAAATTTTCAATATGTGCATCTTACCGGTGTTAACATATGGATGCCAAACATGGGCAATGACAAAACTTAACAGCCAAAGGCTTAAAGTGTGTCAACAGAGGATGGAGAGGAGTATGCTTAACATAAAGCTACAGGACAAATGGAAGCTCTCAAAAATCAGAGCAAAAACGAAAGTAACAGATGTTACCACTAGAATAAAAAGACTAAAGTGGCGCTGGACAGGACACATGATGAGATCCCAGAAAGACAAATGGACTAAAGAAATAACGGTATGGTATCCAAGGAACGGAAAGAGGCGCAGAGGAAGACAGGTGATGAGATGGGAAGACGACCTTCCACAGGGGTGGAGAAGGTATTCCCAAGATCGTATTAAGTGGGGTGAGCTAGAGGAGGCCTACGTCGAAAGACGACCTGACCATCGATAAAATATTAAGTAATTTTATTAGGCATAAGGAAATTTTTACTGGTCAGAGAATAAAGGCTATTTTTATTTATTTATTTTTTGTAGTAATAAATATAAATTATAGATTACTTGTAGTAATAAATAATAAGATTATGGTAAAATTTAGTCTTTTAACGTCGCTCTCGCTTCGTCGAGCTTTAATGTGATACTCATTCCTTCAAACATTCAAATAAACTTATTGATTGTACTCGTCGTGCTGAGACTAATAAAGCTCAAACTATCTGATAAAATTAAATTATAGTATGAACACAGATGGTTTGATATGATATATATATATATATATATATATATATATATATATATATATATCCAAGTTAGAGAAGAGAAGAGTTGTCATTTTGAAATCGCTGAAGAATGGGCATCTACCTACTTAAAGGAATGATATCCATACTTAATATTATAAACGTGACAGTGTGTTTGTTTGTCCTTCTTTCACTTCGCAACAGAGTGACGGATTGGCGTAATTTTTTGTCTGGAGATAGTTGGAAGGCTAGAGTGTGACACAGGCTACTTTTACCGCCATTTTCATTCCATACAAACCGTTAAAACGTACCTAGGGACGAACCCGAACGAAGTGAGGGTGAGCCGTTAGTTTTACTATAATTATTCTATTACATGACGATATTTGTCTTTTCAACACTTTTTTTCAAAGAGTGGTATATTTTTTAAGTTCAAAGATTTATTTTTTAGCTAAAAGCAGTTTTAATTTTCTCGACTACCATGGCATATTTATCAAATACCCTCTTAGATATCGAATACCTACATATTCCATGAATGGCTGTATTCGTATAGAATAGCCCCGCATCAAATGAAATCGTCTGGAACGTCTTTATGTCATATCGTAGAAATTTAAGGTCCTTTAGAGATTGATATATATAAAAATCCTATAAAACTTTTTAGTGCTATATATTTTATTATGGTTCGATATTGAATATTATAATTAAACTTTAATATAGAAGAGAATTGCACGGAAAACTCAGTTTTCAGCATTTTGTCATTGCTTAGGTCATTACCGTTTAACTAAGATTTAAGTGCGTACTTTAAATGTACCTATTTAGTGCCACATCTATTTTTTTTTATTTTACTACAGCTTTGTTTAGCGGCTCCCATGAGACATTTACGTTTCAAGTAACTATGTAAGGGAATTTGTATTACGAATATTATAATTATACGCGCGGGCAACGCCGTAAAAGATAGCAAGGTTTGTTATAAAAAGATTTTTGAATCATACTTAAATTTAAATGTCGTCTAGACCACAGTCTCGTCTTCTAGCTCCCTCGAGAATATCATACTTATCCTTGAGGCTACAAAGCTAACCGACGAAAAAATAACTTCTTCTATATAATTTAACAAACTTAAAGTCAAATCTACTTACTTAATTCCGAAGGTAGTAGTATACATATTACATCATTAGTTATTGCCCTAGTTTCATACGTACCTTTACGTGTGTACCTATATATATATATATATATATATATATATATATATATACATATATATATTAGTGTATACCCAAAAACAACCAAGTATCTAACTGAGACCTCAAATAATATTTCGAATTGATCTGTTACAATTTTTTATACATGCATACGTTTAGCTCGTTCCTTAAAGAAATTACATAATACGTATAAGTATAATATTGAATTAACTATTACATATAATAATAAGCCTTTATTCACGAAGATAGCATCACATAAGAAAAATTTTATAAATTGGTAAGTATTACAGGTAAATAAAATCACAAATAGATAATATGAATCATAGCTATTATTGAAATAATAAAATGAAATTGTTTTTTTTTTTTACAAAATATTGCTTTTATTATTAGGTAGGTACTATTTAACTATTTTTATTGTTTTTTTTTATATCTAATTATTCGATCTAACTATAAGATATAGTATTCTTAATTTAGGCTATGAAACATCTAAGTTAAAAAATGTTTATGGTTTTCATAAAAATAATTAAATATTCCAAGTCTCTTTTGTTTTTTTACTGAGATTAGAAATCTAAACCTTTCAAAAAGCTAACAAGTAACAACCCTTAGAGACCAACGGCTGCCTATTTTTTGTGCTTATTCACTAAATAAATTGCTTCATAAAATTAAATTTTGAATCTAATTAGACTATAAAATATTTAATTTATAACGGTTTAGATATAATTTAAGAGTTATTAGGGCTATAGTTCATATCTTTCATACTAATTTTGTTTATATGTTTAATTTGAACTCGACTGTGTTGAAGGGAGTTAATCTTGTATATAAATAAAAATAAATTTTCTATGCGTTCTTAAACCATTCATCTCTACGGACGCACCCTTAAACAATAAGAAAATGTGTTTCACACAAACTTTACCATGTCATTAATTCATTTCGATAGAGAGGACCTTGTGCACATTTGAGGTATATTTTCTTGTTCTCCGCAATATTCGTTCATCTTGTCATGGTGAGGGCATGGTGAGGGGAAGGGGAAAGGGAAGGGGAAAGGGAAGGGGAAAGGGAAGGGGAAAGGGAAGGGGAAAGGGAAGGGGAAAGGGAAGGGGAAAGGGAAGGGGAAAGGGAAGGGGAAAGGGAAAGGGAAAGGGAAAGGGAAAGGGAAGGGGAAAGGGAAAGGGAAAGGGAAGGGGAAAGGGAAGAGGAAGGAAGGGGAGGTCTCGTCAGCGTCCTGTAATCCAGCTGGGCGCAAAGCCAAGAAACGCACTGGGAGGCAGCTCTACTCGGTTATGTACCATGCGGGTTGCTCCTGGAACTTCTGTGATAGCTGACTGGATTGTTGGAGCAACCCCATGATTGTGTGGACTGCTTCGGCAGACCTACCGTTCGGGGCGTCGTGGTTGAGTGCGTAAGCGATGTTCGGTTGCATTTTAGTGGGCAGTACTGACTTTGCCGGTGAGTATGGATGCTGGTGATATGCGTAAATGCATTTCCCAACCATAAAAAAATACTTTGTTCAAAACTTGTTTGTTTTAACTTTTATAGAAATAAATATATAAGTATACTTACTTATTACAGGTATTTACAGGTCTATTGTTCAGTTTGAACTTGTTACTTTAAATAATATTTGACTTCAGTTCTTTAAACACGTGTCTAGATCTCATATTTTTCAATGTTGTCTCAATATTCGTACTCGTTTATATTCAGACTTCGCATCATCCTGAGAACATAGGAATATACTTCTTTGATGGTATGACAGAACTAGTATTAGAAGTAATAACTATGTAGATTTACTGCAGTCAAACCATAAAATAGATGGGTATTTTATATAAATATACTAACTTTTTTATAAGTTAGACAAAGTTTATTCTTTACTTTTACTTCTTTACTCTTACGCGGATTTCGTTTACAATTTCATGGGTTTTAATTTTTTTTCTATTCTTTTTTCTAAAATAAAAGTAGCCTAAGTTACTCCTTATAACGTCAGCTATCTGCCAGTGAAAGTCCCGTCAAAATCGGTCCAACCGTTCTGGAGATTAGACGGAACAAACAAACAAAATTGTTTTTTCTTATAAGTACCGTATATACTTTCAATTTGCATTTATTAAAAAGTTGTTATTTTGAAAGTACAAACAGACACTTCAATTTTATTTATCTGCATAGATATCTTTTTTGTACTGTACAATTTGTTCTTACTTTAATATGTTAAAAGTTAAGCTCTGATAAATCCATGAAGCATGATAATGAAAATAATTAATTGAAGAAATAAGAAACAAAATTATTTTTTATAATTTTCTTTTGACATTGGCAATTACATTGACCTTTACATTATTCTCACTCCGTCTATGTACATACATATACATATATTCGCTTCGTGTTCGTCCTTAGACAACGAATCTATCCCACAGGAACTGTACATTTTTCCGGGATAAAAAGTAACCTATGTGCTGTTCCAGACTATAATCTATCTCTGTGCCAAATTTCATCCAGATCAGTTCAGCCGTTCTGGCGTGAAAGAGTGACGAAACATCCATCCATACATTCTCACAAACTTTCACATTTATTATATTAGTATGGATAGTATGGATATTTAATATATTTTTTTAGTTTCGACAAAGACCATTCAAACTCGGCGTTCTTGCGTAAATTCCGCGGGACTGTGTACGGGATGTCGGACGGCGAAGACTTGTTGGACAAAGAAGCCGCTTTCTATGCGGCGGTGCTGACGCCTTTGATCTTTTTACAGAACTATCGCGATACTTGGTGCCTTTTGGAGCGGGTGAGATGTTTTTGTGTTAATAGTAAAATATTAATCAAACGAATGTAATTTTATTCAATAATATTTTAAGATTACGATATGTTTTTTTTTCGTAAATGTTCTTAACGGTTATATATAATAGATCTACGGTATAGAGTCTATTTAATGAGAAGATTACGAGTACGATATTCGAATCGCACGACTCACAAATTATGACTCTCAACTTCGATGCTTAATATCGATCGAACTCGTAAATGAATGTAAGCTATAGTGACAAAAAATTAGCTACAAATAGAATTTTTGTACTAATATTATAATCCCTATTTAAAAACTCCATTAGGTCCGATCAAAAGCGACAAAAGCCACATAGAAACCAATAAATGTTCATTGTAAAGTTATTTTTTACATCCAATATATAAAATTCTCGTGTCAAAGTGTAACAAAAGTCCTCTGAAACGGCTTGACCGATTCTAATGAAATTTTGTGTGTATATTCGGTAGGCTGAGAATAGGACGTAACCTATTTTTCATACCCCTAAGTGATAAGGGTGGTCCACTATAAAAAATTTTTGGACAAAATTTTTTTATGATTCGGCATTAAACATACGTAAAAACCTAAATTTTCAATAGGGACGAACCCGAGCGAAGCGAGGGTGAGTTGCTAGTTATATCTGATAAATAATTATTGAGGCTTTATAAAATATACATATAACTACATATCTGTCCTGTAGTATAGGTAGTAAAAACTTTAATGAAGTGTAATGGGAAGTCTGAAGATGAGAATCAGTAACTAGTAGATATTTGTAGTATAAACTAGCTACTCACCCTCGCTTTGTTCAGGTTCGCCCCTAGGTACGTGTTAACGGTTAGTACTTAGTATGGATGTGGAATAGATAGTCTATCCCTCGCTCTGTGATAAATAAAACAAATCTATCCCACGGGAACCATACATTTTCCCGGTATAAAAAGTAACCTATGTGCTATTCCAGACTATAATCTATCTTTGTATCAAATGTCATCCAGATTCGTTCAGCCGTTCTGGCGTGATTGAGTGACAAACATCCATCCATCCAAATTTTTGCATTTATAATAGTAGTAAGATACATACTCGTAAATATAGTAGATAATAGAGAAATATATTCATTAGTAAATTTTTCCAGTTCCACCGAGCGTTGCGACTGTACCAGGTATCGCATCCCATGGAAAAGCGTTCAGCGCTCAAGTTGCTGCAAAACTTTAGGGCGGTTAATCATAAGGTAATATTATTCTGAGTGAGGTATCCTTAGCCTTTTATCTTGTACTCGAATATTTGTTTACACTTATGTATAATATCACACATTGTTCACTAGGTTGTTATACCAACAAGTTTTTGACGCTTTGGTGAGAATTTTATTCTATTAGAAGTTTTTTTTTGGAATGGAGCTAGTTTTCATTCTGTTTGGGTTTTTATTATTTATTTTTGAAAATGTAACCGTAATTATGTTGTAATTTTACAATCATCCTTTTGCATTTTCTTCGCGTGATGTCTTGATTATAAAACCTACACTTTTCATAGACATAATATTTATGTATTATACATAAAAGCCTTAAGGAAAATATCGCTATACTTATATGATGAAGTTAAATATCTTTTTATTTTTTTTCGATTTCAGATAAAATCATTCGCTTGGGATTTACCCGGCCCTCTCTCCATATCTCGACCCCGAACGAGTGAGGCTCCAGAATTAGACGAAGGAGAGATTCACGACAGAAAAGATATTATTTACTTCAAAGAACTCATTAAAAATCTTGGTTAAAAGATATTTTGTTATTTAAACCTGCGGCAAAAGAGGGTGTGCGTTCGATTCTTGTCGAGAGCAATGTCAGAGATCATCAAATACCATACAGTTTAACCTAGTAGTCTATTATAGAAATAATTTTTTTATCTAACTATTCTCTTTATATATGTATATTTTGTTATCTTAAATTAATGCTCAATAGTTCTAAAAACAGAGATAAATTTGTATGAAACGAATATATTTTTAAATCTATTTTCCACAAGTAATCTGCTCTAGCGCCCATCTGCAGGCCATTCATACGCCAGAGACCGGCAATATTCATTAAAACGTAGCGAGAACTCTACAACTAATCGGTCGCCATACATTTAACAGGTTTTTTTTTGTAATAACCGCAACGCCGGTGTAAAATATTAGTTACGCTGTTACATGGCTCTTGTAATTGAATTTTTTATCTTTATACTATGTTATCCTTGAAAATAATAGAAATAGGTGCAAAAATTATGGTGATACTTAAATAATACCACAAAAAGTACAAAAAAAACCCCACACAAAACACAAAAGAAAATATATATAGGCCTTATTGTTACAAACCATACAGGAAACCTTCAGATGAAGGAGTCTGTTTTTTTATAAAAACAACAATGTACTAGACAAATGTGTCAAATTGAACAAATATAAAACTAGTGTTCTAGAGTGGTAATGGTCTTGAACATTTTCACACAATTACATTCAACAAGATAAGCTGATAAGATACAACTATCTTTCTTTTCTTCTCATCTAATTATCTATCATTATTACGCTGATAATATTAGTAAAGAGTTGTAATAGATAAGTATGTAAACGTATGCCTTCTTCTCTCACCTCACTCACCCTCGCTTCGCTCGGATTTCTCGAGTTCGTCCCTTTTAATGGTTAGTATGAAATACTAATTTTTGAATTTCTCGGCTTTTCCGTACTATAATAATATGCATGTATTATACATATAAACCTTCCTCTTGAATTGCTCTATCTATTAAAAAAAATGCATCAAAATCTGTTGCGCAGTTTTAAGGATCTAAGCATACATAGGGACAGACAGATAGCGGGAAGCGACTTCGTTTTATACTATGTAGTGATAATATTCATTCAAAAAGGAGTAATAATATAATTTACAATTTCTTGGAAAATATTAAAAACTTAGCCTCAACGATACAACTCGGCGTAATATATAAAATATCGTTGAAACCGGAAATTCAATTGTGAAAAGTCCATTTCTCCATATTTCAGTAAGTTGAGGTTGAAATAAAATGTTTAAAGTTGGAAGTATCAAATAGCATGTACGCGGTGCATTAGGCGCTTGCACGCTACATCGCCCCACACGTTCGCAGGCGGCGCTACACTGTGCATTATTTCTCGGCCATCGGTTTGTACTGTCGGCGGAAATTATAGGTTTTCCATGTTATTTAGTTTTTTTTTATGTTAAATTGCTGTGGGTTGCCATTTATCTGTTTATTATTGATATCTTTGATAAAAGTATAAGCGTACATTTCATCGTTTTTTTAGAAATATTATTACTTATTTGTTGCTAGCGAGTCAGTCTCTCCCGTGACCATGATTGCTGTAAAGCATTCGAAACGTCGGGAACCAAAAATCTAAATAAATTTGCAAAAAAATCCGAAAAGATAGTTTAATTTAAAATGTTGTTGTTGTTTAAAAGTCGCTAACTTAACTTAGCCTCGCTCGGGTTCTTCCCTAGTTACGTTTAACCTTTAGTATAGATTTTTTAGAGATGAGGTATTTTCCCGCAGTAAAAAGTATCCTATACGTTGATCCGGATAACCAGCTATCATCATACCAAATTTCATCAAAATCTGTCCAGTGGTTTTCTCGTGATGCGGTCACAGATAGACTGACAGACAGATAGACAAAAATCTCGTATAGATAATAATGTCTATTCCAATAAGATTTTCCAAAAAATATTTAATATGTAGACTCACTCATAATTTTATTATATGTATAGATTATTAAGGTTTTTTTTAATCGCTTACAAATAGGCCGCACACTAGCGGCAGTCGGCAGTCAGCAATTTTACTGGTTTAATAAAGAGCCGCAGGTGCTGTGACGGAAGCTACGCGAGCGGACACTCGTGCGATGGATGAAATGCCTTTATTACTTTATATTCACAGAGTAAAATGATACAGGACTTATTTATACATCAGTGTCATTAAAATAATTATATGTAAAATTAATGTCAACAATGATATATTAAATGCGAAATTGTGTTTGTTTGTTATAATTTTACGCTGTGAAAACGACGAATAGGTGTTAATTTTTAATTTTTTGCATAGTTTATAAATTTGGTTTTTTATTCCAGTGGAACAAGTTATATTTGTAGGGTTATCTCATTATGTATAATGCGATAGGTTTTTGCCTGCGGCTCTGTTTGCACAGTAAGCGGGGCTGGGATAAAAGGTAATTTTTGTCTGTCCAGTATCCAATCTACGTCCTTGCCAAATTTCATCCAAATAAATTCAGCGGTTTAAACGTCTTAGGAGCTGAAGCAAGTATTAGATCACGAAAATATTATTATATAAAAATTACGAAGGGCCCACAGTTTTAATCTTTTTTGTAATTTATATGGTGTTTTTATGGTATGAGAACCCAAATGAATAGATTTCTTTGTTTTCTTGGCTTGGCGGCTTAAATATTTTTGGTTTTAGTCTAAATTAAAAATATAGCTGTTTCATTTTAATTAACTATGCAGTTATGATTTTAAGATAACATTTGAATTCATATTTTTTCATAATACCAAAATATATAAAGGGATTACAACTTGTAAAATTATAATTTTTTTTTTCGAGGGTAGGAGTGCAACACGACACTATATTTTAACAGCTGTTTATTGTAAATATTGTTTATAATTATTTTTGAATTGTTTTTGTGACACATGCTTTTGCGATAAAGCCACCTACTAATAAGAGTTATCTTTCTTTAAACTCTTTATACTTTGCACTAATTTTACTAATATGGGGTCCATCAATCAATCACTCTCTGCACTCACTGATTTATTCAATACCAGGATGAATGATTTTCAGCAAGACCTAAATAAGAATTCAACTCCTGTTACAAATCATGCTTTGCTGATCAAAGATCAAAGGTGATCTTTAACTCAATAAAACTTGAATTGTACCTAGTGTAATCACAAAAATATTTGGACCATGCAAAATTCGAACCCACGACCTCCGGCGTAGAAGTAAATACTTGTCAAATAGGTAACAAATATTTGTTGTGAAAGGTATGACGTTGTTCCGACGATAGCTAGTCTGTATTACTAGGAACACCTGTGACAATAAAACTAAAGTGAACATAACTTGAGTCTTTATTTGGTGTCGTAAATTAATGTTTGATTGTAGTCGTTAAAAACATTACATGTCTTTTTCACGTTCTCCTACAATGTGTTGAGACGAAAATAGATATTATTAATATGTTATTTTACACTAGCATTGCCCGCGGCTCCGCCCGCGTTCAGATGAGCAAAAAAGTAATTCTTAGGTTTTACATATTAGTATACATTGCAGTTTTTGTAGTTTTTCTTAGAAATGAGATATTTTCCCACAGTAAAAAGTATTCTATATGTTGACCCGGATAACCAGCTATGACTATACCAAATTTCATCAAAATCCCTTCAGTGGTTTTTCTGTGATGCGGTAACAGACAGACAGACTGACAAAAAATTCTAAAAACTATACATTCGGCCTCTGTATCGATAATAATGTCTATTTCAATCAGATTTTCCAAAAAATTATTTAATGTACAGATTCGACTCAGTTAGAATTTTATTATATTTATAGATTATTCAAGTGTACATGATATATGTATGTAGTAAAATTGTATTGGAATCTACGATATATACATATGCGTGGAATATTTATGAACAATTTTATCTTTTGTCGTAAACACGAAATTTCGTAAGAATATGCTATGTAGAGCTTTGGTTCCGTTAGTTTCATAACATTTTAGAAAACTAGTCACCTGCTCTCATTTGTTTAAGTTTCTAAGTAAATTCTACAACAGTCTAGCAACCTATGTAAATTATTTGAAGTATCAAGGTATAGTCGATATTATTTTATAATACAAAATCTACCTTTGTGCAGAAAATTACGTCTACTTGGTGTAAAATAAGGACAAACAAACACACTACAAATACAAACATACATAACTTTACGTTATCCTTAATATTCCTTATTAGTTCCTTTATAAGCATTATTCCAAACACTACGATCTCTATAAGCACCCTCTCCCATAATTGATGATACGTGGCTGACTAGATGTCTAATGTGTGTGTGTGTGTCATCTCACCCATCTGTTTACTAAATTTCAGCAAAATCCAAATCTGCCTAGCATTTTCAATTTGAAGGAGTTACAAATATACACAAACACACAAACACAAACTTTGGTATTTATAATTTAATAAAAAATAATGTTAGTCCTGTTGATTTATGTTTTTCTCAGGACTTTTTTTCCGAACTGGTAGTAGACTCATGACGTACAGTAAAAAAATGTTATAATTTGGTGTTGAATAAAATATTTTAAATTTGACTTTAAAGAAGTGCTAAGTACTGTATAGTTAATTACGTATACGTATTTTAAATAAAACTATCTTTTCGGATTATTTCGCGGATTTATTTTGATTTTTGGTTCCCGACATTTCGAATGCTTTACAGCATCCATGGATGTCAAAATCCATGGATGTCAAATGGATGTCAAATGTCAAAATGTCAAATATTCGCGTAAATCTAAGAAAGTATTACGTATACGTATTACTAGAATTTCAATATCATTATATCTTGAGCCCACTCGCAGTCACATAATGCCACACAAGTGGCTGGAACTTTATGGTAACATAATTAGAACTGCTCAAACAATTCCCGCAGTGTGCCTCTTGAGACAGTATTACCAACCTAACTAGCCAACATGTCACGAGTTAGCGACAATTTACTTAGAAATTTGGTAACTTACTGACGTAAATTGAAATT